GTCCATCTTTTTGTGTCTTCTCCCTCCAGCACATCCAGCTAGTAGAGGTGCCTGGGAGTCATTTTGTGCATCTGAACGAGCCCAAGGTGGTGTCTGGGATTATCAGCAACTTCCTGACAGCGCAGAACACCAGAGCCAGGCTCTAAGAAGCACTCACTGCTGCAGCAGTCCAGGAGAACAGGGAGCTAAAAAGCAGGCTCTGGAGGAATTGTCACCATTCCTACCTCACATCCAACATCAGTTTCACAATACCCTTCCCTAAGCTTAGCTCACTGCAAGGTGGAAGCAGGTCTGCTGGGGGTTCCCTGGAGGAGAGCTGAGGAAAATATCTTGGTTGTCAGAGGGAGAAGGAATCCTTCCTTCACTTCCAGCTCTGTGAGTACAGGGATAGATGCCCAGAGTGGCCTTCCCCTCGCTTGCTCCTAACTTATGCCACGAAATGGAGCAGGAATACAGGCAAAGGCAACCACTGTGGGAGCAGCGGCAACACCAGCTGTAGCATTGCAAGAGATAGGTGGCTCATCTCACCTCCTCCCTGGGGATGGTGCAACCAGTCTCCTCCCAGGGTTACACCTACTGAAAAACCAGGAAAGTGTTCTGCTTCTTTGCTTACTTCCATGGGTGCCTGAGCTCAGAGGGCCTCAGTGTCTCTGTTCTACTCTGAGCTGCTGCTTGTTTAAAAGTCAGCTTAAAAGCTCACCTGGGCACAGAAGGCTATTCTAATGAACTCCTAGGGAATGAGTCACTAATGCTCTAGCTGGAGCAGCTGGGAGAACTACTAATAATGGAAAAGTTGGCAAAAGATGATTTCTGTCCTAAATAAAGATTAATCTCCCAATATTAACTCTTGTCTTCTTGACTGTACAGGAGTAAAACTCGTTTCTTTTGGGATGCTCACCCAAGCAGCTACAACACCAGTCTTAGGAGGCAGTGATTTTTACATGCATTCTGCTATAGATAGGGCATATTAAGGATCCATCTGCCTCCTAGTTAAATTGATGCAAAAAGCCAACTGAAGCAAGCAGGCCTGGCAGTCTCCCCATGCAATGGAAGCTGCATTTGCAGTGGGTTTTCTAGGGGAAGGTAAATCCATTTTAACCCAGCTCTGTGGAATTTACCAGCGTTTCCACCTTACATTCATGGTCACGCCCATATTGAGGCTGCAGGCAGCAAAATAAATGTGCAGAAGCCTAGGGGTGGGTGGGTTACAGCCCCTTTCCGATCACAGAGTGCACTGGGGTGAACAATCATTAAGTCCGAGGCTGCACAAATGTTATGTGGGCAGTACAAAGGCATTGCCCCGCTGCTGGATGTGCCTGTTGCCATCCTTACCTGCCTCCTGTGGGCTGCTGACAGGTTAAGTGGAAACAGGCCTTGGAGAGTCTGGCTTCTCCCTCCAAAGCCAGGCTGCCATCTCATCTTGTTCTAGTGATGGTGCTGAACAGCAGCAGTTCCCAGGCTAGACATGGCTGTAGAGGTCCTCACACAGCTGGAAGACTGGGCACCTCAACACCTGGCTGAAAGGGAACTGCCTGGGAGGGAAACACCAAGGGAAGGGGTAGGGTTCTGTAACACACCACTGATCTTTGCTTGTGACAACAGGTCTGGGAACTTCCCAGTTGGGCTTTTCCTGAGGTCACTTCTCTCCTCTTCTTACTCACCCCCAGATAATATGTGCAAAGGAGCACAGGCAAACAAGCCATGACTTTAATTGCCACCCCAGCACACAAGAAGCTGTCCCCCACAGCAGACCACAGTGGAGAGAGAGAGGCATTTCAATGTTCTGAGAACATAGCAGCAGTTTATTTACAGTTCTTCAGCCATTCCCTGCAGAGGCTGTACTAGGTCAATCCCAGCTCTCACCAAACTTTAGGAGGGCCTTGCGTGGCAGGGAGATACAGGTTGTCACAGGACCTTGACCTGAGCGCCTTGGGAAGTGGTGCCACAGGGCCCAACGATGGCAGGGAGAGCAGGAGGATACCGGTGCGACAGAAGGAAACACCCCCTCCAGTGGCGGTTGCTGGGATCTCCCACTTCAGATCCAAGGGCAAGGACAACCCAAAGCTGCCTCAATTCCTTGAAATCCTTTGGCACATGTGAGTCCATAGGCATCTCTCCTGCCCTCTCCAGCACAAGCATCTGAGGAAATAGCTCGGCACGACTTAGTATGGTCGAAATTTGCGCTGGGCTCGCATCAGTGCGATTCTCTGCTTGTCCTCCTCAAATTTCTTCCTCAACTGGGCGATGTCTGAAAGAGGCAGAAAGAAGACAGGTCACACGGGAGCAGCAGATCTTTCTCCTGCAGAGCTTCACTTCCACACACCAGGAGGGGCTCAGTCCTGAAACTTGCAAACACACACTTCCCAGAGCAGGTCCTTTTGCGCCTGGGCTGAGTGCCAAGCTGGGGCTCTCGCCGTTCATCTCCGGCAGTGCTGCAGCTCCCTCTTGGGGAGGAAACAGGCTGGTTTTCCTTTTCAATTGCTGCCTTTGTGCAGACTGAAGAAACATCTATTGGAAAGTCACGACCTGTGCACTCTCCCACAAAATATTCCAGCAGCCCTCGCTAGGAGAGGTGGTGGCAAGGGGCCCCCAAGAGCTGGCAAGGCCATTCACGCAATCACCTAGCCAACTGTTCACCTGCAGCTGGACATAGCCTCCACTGAAGGAAGAAGGACGCTCTTTGGGCCACAGTGTGAGATACAAGAGACACAGGCAGGGGTAGGAGGAGACTCAGACACTCACGCTCTCTCTTGGTCTCGCGATGCTGCCAAGCATAGAAGTTGAGCAGCTCTTTGCGGGCCCTTTTCCGCTTCTCCCTCTCCAGCACCCGCAGGTTGGCAGCCTCTGTCCGGGGCAGGCCAGGCTTCCTGCCCTTCCGCGTTACCTTCACCCAGCCATCCTCATCTGGAACGCCCTCCTCCTTGGCTGCTTTGGCTTCTTCCTGTAAAGACAGGAGGGTGAGGCAGCTCAGTGCAAACAGGCTGCCAGCCACCCTGATTCACGGCTCCCCCCCCGTGTCCCCCTTACACACATGCAGAGTTACAGCTCCTGCTTCTGCACAAGACTTGAAGGAAGGATGGGACCAAGGGGGCAGGCATTCACCTCTCAGTCACAACACTGCATGCCAGCCAGGACCCAATTTATTTGTGGATACCTGTTGTAAGCCCTGGGTGGAAGGGTCAAGTGCTGTAGACCAACCAGGACCCGACTGCCCACCAGCAACTGGGAGTAAAACAACCCTGCCAACCAGTGTGTTTCCCTCTGCCCTTTCCACTGAGGCCGGGGCACCAAGATATCTTCTCTCTCCCCAAACTGCTTAGCTGGGTTCCCTCTCCAGCCTGGCCTCACCTCTGCTATCTTTTTGTCATAGTCTTGCATGTAGGCGTCCACCTCAGCCTTCAGCTCCTCCTGATCCACGACTGAGGCCGCATAGCTGGCGATCCACTCTGAGACAGAGAGCAGAAGTCAGCAGTAGCCTCTGCTAGAAGCAAGCCCTAGTGTGATGCCTTTGGGCAGCTCTCGAGAGAACTGCTGTGGGGAAGGACACACTTCCCATTCCTCTTCAGCCTCCCCACTGCCACAGCTCAACCAGCTTGTGGCCCAGGCCACAGCCAGTAAGCGATGGGAAGAGCTTGCAACTTTCCCAAGCAGGAGTGGGCTAGCCTTAAGCTCAAGAGGTGCAACATTCGGGGCTGCGTTCCTGTCAAGTGCTATCATCTTGACAGACACCTGGTGCCTGTTATTGAGTCTGAATTCCATTTTGCGGGCAAGACACAGCCAGTTTCTCTGAATCTATGTGATACTGAAAAGATGTTGGGAAAAACTGCCCTTCCATTGTACCAAGTGACCCCATTCTCCCACAGGGTCACTGGACCAGACTACGATGTCCAGTACAAGAAGATTGCTACCTTGTGAATAACAAAAGCAGGACAATGAAACACTGGATGTCTCCCAGCTCAGTACAAAATGGTGAGAATTAATCCGGGACATGCAGGGTAGGATTCAACGAGGAAGGGGTATAGTTTTTCCCCGGCACTAGCTAGCAGGAAGATAGCTAGGGCTGTCTTACTGCTAATGCCGGTTTTCACAGGGTGACTCTCTGTTGATATCAGCAAGGGACCTTCCCGTGACAGGGCCTTGGCTGCCTGGACACCAGCTGGTTTCCTGAACACCACGTATGCTACTTGAAATCCCTAAGAGAAAAAGACACCCAGGCCAGTCAGATACACCAGGGAAATTGGTGACACAGCAACGAGCTGCAGTACAAGAAAAAGAAAATCAATCCACAAGTTACAGTGGGATAGCAAAAGAATATAATGTAAACTTAACTAAGTAAGTAATCATGTTGCCCAATGCCCCCAAATGGTTTCCCATATCTCATATTCCAAACAGTAACATTCAGTGCTTGCGATCTTTTCTGACCACTGAAGCATCAGTATTTCAACCACACCCCCCCCTTGGACGTGAGTTTTTCTTTTTTCTCTCCTGGCTTCTCACAGATGTCCACAGACTGGACACACCCGCAGCGGGCGAACAGCCTGGACAGAGAGTCCTCGACACGAAGAATAAAAGAGAACAAACGGTACAGGAAAGCGGGAGTAATTCCTCTCCCCACCCTCTCACGCACGGACTAGAGTGCACCGGGAGGCTCTCCGGCACAACCCCAGCTCCTCTGCCCACAGCTACCCCGAGGCACGCCTGGCTCCTTCGCCCACGGCCCCGCGCTCCTGAGACGATGCCCTCAGCCTCCAGCCGCCCCCGCCGCCAGGCCGAGCACCGCGCTCCCCCCGCGCCGGTGAGACACCCCTACCCCCTCCCGCGGGCCACCCCAGCCTCACTCACCCGGCT